TGTTTTGTTTATATATTTTTCTTGGCAGCGTTCAGAATGCAAATCTTTTCTACCAATCCGTGTTAAACAAAACATGATTTATTCGTAATAAGATCAATTTTCTAGCAGTTTCATTATGCCAATTTATGTTGCAGATCTCCTTCGCTATATGCTTTGGCCTCCACCAAAGATGAATTACCATATATTTCCGAAGCAATTTGTTAGCGGTTTACATTTGAGTATAATAAAATATACACATGAGGTAGATTTCAGTTGAAAGCCAGCTTATTTAGCGCATCAACTTTCAAGTCAAACTTGTGTTACCATTGTTAATTAGGACCCATCCAATCATCAGTAAACATGGTCTTATGACACGATTCACAAATAGAATTTGTTACATTTGCATCGTGGACATTAATGCTTCAAGTCAGGATTACCATAAATATTTTCTTAATGATGAGTGGGGATCTACGTAATGCAACAGAGAATCATGACTTTTAAAGAAAACTTTTAAAAAAATGCTTGGCTTTCTAAAATGATTCAACAAATTGAAGCAGACCTCCCGATAAATTATTTTGTATATATCTTCACTTCGTACATTTATCTGTCCACAGCCTCTTCAAAATAGGTGTTGCAGCTGTGCGTTCCACACTAAGTATTTTTTAGTGGGTTGAATTGCGAGCCGTACGTACAACCAAATCTGTGATACCCTGTGCTATTGAAGAAAATCTTAATTGAATATTTCTTGATGGGCGTATCTTTGTCAATGTTTGTGTGTGTATGTGCATGTCTTTGTCGGTGTATGTCAGTATGGTCGCTTGTGTGTGCCTTTCATTGTGTGTGTATGTTGTCATTTTTTTTAAGGGTCGTGAACATATTTCCTGTCTCGTCGCTTTTTTCCGTGTCTATATATCCAAATATGTCTGTGTGTTTGTATATTATAATCTGATTGTGTATGTTTCGTCTTCTACAAGATTTCATCCTCCACCCGGCCCATGTTCTTGCTTCAAATGTATCAACGTTGTCATGAAGTTCAGAGCAGCATTCGATCTTAACAATTATTCCTACTTAATTTCAATAAAAACAAAAAAAATAGAAAAACATGTATTTTTCTTTAGTTTCTTCTTTAAATAATTTTATAATTTTAAACTTTATATAGATTAAATTTAAAATTGGTAATTTTTAAATTTATAGTATAATTTAATATTTATTGGTTAGAATGAATTCTATTTTAGTCTAACCTTAACATTAAAGCATTAAATAATTATTATAAACAAAGCTCGTTGTCAAGTTTTTTGAATTCTCGTATACTTGTATTTTGATTAGTCATTCCAGCTTATGTAACAGCCTTTCCCCTAACGAGGGGTGTTTGATCGATTTGAACCTTTTTAAAACCCTTTATTCTACATTCAACACCATCAGTTGATAAGACACCAGAAGTGGCTATTTTTTTGTGATTTTATAACATTTTTATGTTCTAATTTTCTAATAAATAATTATATGTGCTCTACTCTGTATTGAGCACTCTTTTAAGAATAGTATTTGTTGGTTATTGGAATTAATTCCGTATACACCAATCCTATAATATAATATATATATATATATATATATATATATATATATATATATATATATATATATATATGTGTGTGTGTGTATATATATATATATATATATATATATATATAATATTAACAATTAAGATAAGAAAACATAAGGACTATTACTGTTGCAGCATCTGGAAAAATGTTTTGGTGCTGAAATCCCATAATATTTTAAAGTGATCGTATTCCATCACATTATCTGTACGGTGTTCCTACCATTTCTACTCGACATCAAGACCATACTTTCTACATAGGCAACAGTTTACATGCGAAGCCACTTTCTCATGGCAACGCTTGTATTTTTCGGACTAGTAGTTCACCACTGCCATGATGTAGGTAACATTTTCCATCTCCACGCCACATAGCTTACACTTGCCCGAACACACTAGTGGGGTAATAGACACAATTACTATGCATTTATGTATATATTAATTATTATTATTATTACTGGAATTGTATTAAAATTTCATAAAGCAGTGATAAATAATCCACAACTAAAACAGAAGCCAATGAACCGTTACTCCATCCGTTTTTTTTATATATTTTTAACCATTCAGTGGTATCTAGGGTTCATTGATTACTCTTGGTATTACACGAATCGCTTTTTGCTCAATATCTGCACATGTTAAAAACATTGTGTTTAATATAACAGTGAAATGAAAATATGTCTCGGAAGAAAAAATAGCAACAGAACGACAAAGAGATGAACCAAAAATTCTATTTCAAGACAATGTTGGAGCAAGACTATCACTTAATAGACAAAGGTGTCTCATATGAATGACATGACTAAATACGAACGAAATCTGAGAAACGTAATGTTAAAGGAACTGACTAATTGAACAGTTCATTTTGCACAGGAACTAATTTTGTCTAAATGCAGATAAATATTTTATTCGTATTGATTATTAAAAAATTAAACGGCATGTAATCACTCATAGATTTAACGACTTAAGTTGATGGACCTTCATTCTCACCACAGATGGGACAGGATATATATAAATAAATACACATTGATAATTATTATATTGTTTTATTATTATTATTATTATTATTATTATTATTATTATTATTATTATACTCATTCCATCCCGGGACCCAGTCATATTTTCCACTAAACAGTTTTGAAAAAAAAATACAAATAAAACGACCTAAGAACAGGCATGTT